CAATATCTACTGGCAATTGCAGATCCTCTTTCTCTAAAGATACATAGATCTACTGTGGTATTCCAGTCTGTAATCTCTTCTTTCTTCTCTAAGAATAAAAGTATGAACATCTATAATGCAATTGAAAGGGGCTTTACGAAATACCGTGTGATTGTTGATTGAGCATGTTGATGATTTATGTATTGAAGTAATGCAGTGTCAGTCTGTGACCCAGAACATTTCAGAACACACACAGACTGAGACCGTCCTGTCAACCTCAGCGGTCTCTCAGCGTGACTAGATTACTCAGTATTATTCAGTTTACTGACGCGTTACAATAAGTACAGCGCGCTGGCAGAACGCAGGAGACATAACACTCAACATGAACCCATTCTGGAGCTTGGAGTAATGAATACATACAAAGATATTTACCAAATAGAAACACTAGGCCTATGGGCTATGCCTACGCCACGTTGCCTCTGCCTCTTCAGTTCATCTGAGCTGAGAAAACATTTCAGGCTATTCCGTTAAAACAACTAGAGCCTTTGAGAACGTTGTAATCCAAATTGGCTCATTAACTGGCGCCATAATGGCAGTACATAATGCCAGTACATAATGGCAGTACATAATGGCAGTACATAATGCCAGTACAGTGCCTTGCAAAAGTATTATGTATACATAAGTATTCATGTAATGGACATACACAAAATAGTCCAAATTGGTGAAGTGAAATGAAAAAAATAACTTGTTTAGAAAAATTCTAAACAATAAATAACGGAAAAGTGGTGCGTGCATATGTATTCACCCCCTTTGCTATGAAGCCCCTAAATAAGATCTGGTGCAACCAATTACCTTTAGAAGATCTGTCCAAACAGGTCAGGGACAAATTTGTGGAGAAGTACAGATCAGGGTTGGGTTATAAAAAAATATCCGAAACTTTGAACATCACACGGAGCACCATTAAATCCATTATTAAAAAATGGAAAGAATATGGCTCCCAAGTGGCGCAGCGGTCTAAGGCACTACATCTCAGTGCTTGAGGCGTCACTACAGACCCCCTAGTTCGATTCCAGGCTGTATCACAACCGGCCGTGATTGGGAGTCCCATAAGGCGGCACACAATTGGCCCAGCGTCGTCCGGGTTTGGCTGGTGTAGGCCATCATTGTAAATAAGAATTTGTTCTTAACTGACTTGCCTAGTTAAATAAAGGTAAAATTAAAAAATTAAAAAAATAAGTCACATAATTTGTTAAATAAAGTCCACCTGTGTGCAATCTAAGTGTCACATGATCTCAGTATATATACACCTGTTCTGAAAGGCCCCAGAGTCTCCAACACCACTAAGCAAGGGGCACCACCAAGCAAGCGGCACCATGAAGACCAAGGAGCTCTCCAAACAGGTCAGGGACAAAGTTGTGGAGAAGTACAGATCAGGGTTGGGTTATAAAAAAATATCAGAAACTTTGAACATCCCACAGAGCACCATTAAATCCATTATTTAAAAAATGGAAAGAATATGGCACCACAACAAACCTGCCAGGAGGCAAGGAGGGCATTAATCAGAGAGGCAACAAAGAGACCAAAGATAACCCTGAAGGAGCTGCAAAGCTCCACAGCGGAGATTACAGTATCTGTCCATAGGACCACTTTCAGCCTTACACTCCACAGAGCTGGGCTTAACGGAAAAGTGGCCAGAAAAAAGCCATTGCTTAAAGAAAAAAATAAGCAAACACATTTGGTGTTTGCCAAAAGGCATGTGGGAGACTCCCCAAACATATAGAAGAAGGTACTCTGGTCAGATGAGACTAAAATTGAGCTTTTTGGCCATCAAGGAAAACACTATGTCTGGCGCAAACCAAACACCTGCTGACCAAACACATGATGCTGGGGTGATGTTTTTCATTGGCAGGGACTGGGAAACTGGTCAGAATTGAAGGAATGATGGATGGCACTAAATACAGGGAATTTCTTGAGGGAAACCTGTTTCAGTCTTCCAGAGATTTGAGACTGGGACGGAGGTTCACCTTCCAGTAGGACAATGACCCTAAGCATACTGCTAAAGTAACACTCAAAGTGGTTTAAGGGGAAACATTTAAATGTCTTGGAATGGCCTAGTCAAAGCCCAGACCTCAATCCAATTGAGAATCTGTGGTATGACTTAAAGATTGCTGTATACCAGCGGAACACATCCAACTTGAAGGAGCTGGAGCAGTTTTGCCTTGAAGAATGGGCAAAAATCCCAGTGGCTAGAT